GCGTGAGGTTCTCCTCTGAACGCCACGACAACGAAAATGGTCCTACCAAGGCACTAACCTTGCTTTTCATTTCCAGACCTCTCTTCACGGACTCTGTGAGACCCTGTGTGACCCTAAGTCACGGTCAGTTTGCACCTGAAGCCCTCTGATGACTGAAACCAACAGGGCAAAGAGTTGATAATAATTGGACATTCCACACTAATAATCTCAATCTCATTCTTTGTGCCGTCGGGTAACAGCTGCAGGGCAGTGAGTATTGCTAGAGCAAGAGCAGAGTTCCTACCCAGAGCGCCCCAAATTGGTGCCACTTACGCTCTCCGTACCCCAAGCGCTGCATTCAGTACACCAACGCTAATATTCAATAACTCCTCTGAATCTGTCACTGTCCAGCAAAGCAGGACAATAGAGACCATTGAAATTGCTTTCATCAAATAAAGCACTAATTGAATAATAATGGTAGTGCCTGGCTCTCCCAGTGAGCAAAGCTGCTAACGCCGTGGGGTCTGCTTCCGGCCAGGAACTGCTCAGTGATATTATCAGCCGTTGTAAAATGTCTTGGCCACGAAGTTAATCATTAACGCGGGTCCCCATCTCATAAAAACATCGTATTGTAAGAGCACAGCACGCTTAAAGCTGTCACTAATCAATCACGCATAGGACAGGAATAAAGTGACACATAAAAGGAGCCAGCAGCTCAGCAAACCCTCCAGCGAAGGGCAGACAAACCGCAGCGAGGTTTATCTCCATGGAGAAGTCCGCTGACAAGCTAAACAATGCAAACAGGGCGACAGCTCCTGGAGCACCCCAGGCGGAAAAGGATGGTCCTGCGCCCGCTGCGGAAGGTGCTGCAGCCCCCAGCAGAGCAGGACCCCCAAGAGAAAACGCTGGAGCCGTGAAGAGGCTCGGACCCACTGAAGAACACACTGAAGAAATGGAGAGACCTTCAGGCACAGAGCGAGACATTCCTGCCGCCTTTAACCCAGCGATTTCAGATCGAGACTGCCCAAACTCAAAGCCTCTCGTTACGCAAACGAGCTCAAACTCTCCCGAAACGGGCAGTTTTGAACCGAACCACCAGGGTTCAACCGCAACCTCCATCGACACGGATTGCCTGGTCTGCTTCAACAAGTACGACATGTACAGAGTGCCCAAGCTGCTGGACTGCCAGCACGCCTTCTGCGCCGTCTGCCTCAAGCTGATCCTCAGGAAAGAAGAGAGAACCTGGCTGGTCACCTGCCCCCTCTGCAGAAAAGCCACTGGCGTGTCAGGAGGACTCATCCGCACCCTTCAGAATAAAGAGGACGTCATGGAGCACCTGGAAACCCCTGATTCAAACCCTGAGGGGCACGTCTCTGCCGTAGGGCTGGACAGCAAGAGCTGGGCTCAGACCAGCCAAGACGCTTTATACAGGGACGAAAATGTCCCCGCAGACAACAGACTGGCTATCCAGAGACTCGTGCTGCTCCTCCTGCTTGGCGTGATTCTCACCATCCTCATCCTCCCGTTTACGTACTCCGGGCTGATAAAATGGGTAATTTGTCTCCTGCTTACTTTGGGGTTGGTCATGTCCATGGTGCTCTGCTGCACTCCTAAATTCTGCTGGAGGTGTAACAGGGCCTCGCTCACCTCCTGCCACAAGGAGACCCACGTCACTGCCATCGCCTGAAACAACTACCGTGCGCTGCCGAGAGACACAGGCCGGTCCGGCCGGGAAAGCTGCGTGTGGGATGCGCTGGTCCGGTCCTGGACTTTGAAAGCAATCGTTCATGTAATAAATTCAGCGGGTGGCTGAGCTGGCTCGGGGGCAATGCAGTGGCTTTAAACTTCATCCCTGGAAACAAATATTTCTATGTTGATATTTATGAGAGAAAAACTGCAGGGTTTCCACACAATTTTTATCTCAGACTAATCATTTTGTTGTTTTGCTTTTGTCGTTTTGTTCTTGTCGGTGTCACCTCCCGCTTAGCACTGCGGAACACTCTCTGAAACGCCTGAGAGATGCTGTCCTGGGCAAACCCCTGGCTGGGGTTGCGTGTTCCTGCTCTCCTAACACACTTTTTCGTGTGAAACAAGACTGCTAAACCAGGGACTCAATGGAAGAGAGCAGTTTTCACCCAGGTCAATCCCTGTCACTGCCCAAATGGTTGCTGGCCGGGATGGGAAGGTGGCACCAGGAAAAAGGGGTGTCGGTGCCATCGGATGCACACCAAACTAGAGAGGCAGAGGCGGTATCACCACCCCTAGTCACGAGTCTGTGGCTTGCAAAGGGCAAAGCTCTCAGCAGCTCCAAATTCCCCACATTATTTAGCACAGACATAGTCCCTCGCACCCAAACTCCCTTTCCCTGGCTACCTGCACCGCCTCTCTTCTTGCCCTCTTCACCTGAGGTGTGACCCTGCTCACGGAGACAAGCAGAAATCTGTCATTGCTATGCCGTACCGCATGCCCTAATTTGATATGCAACGTGTCCATTAAAGTCTCATCATGTTCCTTGCTCCTTGACTTCTGTGTTTCAATTCCTCACTGACAACATTTCAGAGTTCCCCTCACTGACAGGAACTACAGCTGAGAAGGCATATTTAGGGAATCATACAAGGAGTTGGTGAGTAAGGCAAAGGAGTAACATGTTGGGTTTTTTCCTTGCTTTAAAAAAAGACTTAGTTGCTAATAAAATATCCTGTAACCCAACTAAAATTAAATGGGAAAAAAATTCAAAGTTTGCTCTTAGTTAAGTTACATTTTCAAGCGAACAAGGGATCTCAGCAGACCTTGGATCAGGCCTGTGGTAAATATTTGTGTTCGATAAGAATGGACACTGATGTACCCCAGTGGCTCAGTATATAAATATACACAGTGTCTCACCAGCAGATAAAACAGATTAGACTAAGGAGCTGTTGTCCTCCTAGAGTCTTGGAAAAAACAGGTCTGTCTTCCGCCTAAGAACACGAACCATCAAGTGAAATAAATGCTCTGTTTTCTCTCATATATTTGGACAGCAACTGGCTTATTGTGGAGTACATACAGAGTAACATTTGCTAACAACCAGCCAGAAAAAAAGCTTCTCAATCGGGAAAAAGCAAGTAGTTTTAAACCCAAATATTTTATTGAATTGTATTATTCCAAATACAAAGACCAGACCAGATATTCACCGGTACTGAAAATAATTTCAGAAACTCTTGTTGAGTCTTTCAGCTCATTTTCCTGTCGAGTTCCTTGCACCAGCACTAGTGGGTGACTGGAGCTGTAGGGTTTGTAACAAATACATTAACGTAGCATGCATGAGTGCATCAGGGTAAGCTAGAAGGGTGAAAGGGAAATCCTGTGCTAATGGCTGCACAACACGGAACTCGCTCAAACAAGCAGACAGCAAGGAAGAAGCAGACTGTCAGATGGTGACAAAGATGGACTGCGCTAGAGCCATACAATAATCCCAATTAAAAAAAAATAAGGTAAAACTTGGGGAATTTTGCCTAAGAGGGGAAGAGACCAAGCAAGATACCAGCTCCAGAAGGGTGTACATGTCACGCCCAGTATCGGTTTGCCACCATCCGTCAAGAAACACAATGAAGATTTTACAGGTAGTGTCCCTTGTCCTCCGTGTCACTCACGACGGAGCCCGGCCAGCCCGTGTGGGCCTGGCAGCACACGGGTGTGAACAAATGAAATCAGAGAATTAATGTCAACAGGAAAAACCCGTTTGTGACTTATCAGCCTGCCCTTCCAAAGGGGTGCGTTCAGTTTATTACACTAATTTATACAGTGCCGAAAAAAAGGCCACCAGAAAAGGGCTTCCCTCAAGGCGGTGTACACCAGTGGCAAGGAAGCAGGCGTGCTCTGGGACCACCAGTGAGAGACTGGCCCTCTGACAGAACCCCTAAGGAGCCATCCACCAGCTCCAGTAAGGAGTGGAGCCATACACCAGTAAGATCACCAGCTGTGGAATCACCGCCCACACCGTTTTATACCAGCACCTTCCTAGCCTGCGTTCAGCAGCTGGACTGAAATGCTTCTTCAGCCTTTGAGGGCCACCAACAATCAGCTGATCCAGAGCTCGTGGGTGTCAGTGGGAGTCATTAGGCCCTAGAACCTGGGGTCTTTGTAACAGCTGCTGATTCTGACAAGATAAGGCTTGATGGCAATGCAAACCTTTGAAGCGGCAACTAAGTTGATGGAGAAAAGGCCAACAGAATTGTATTCCCATGCCAACACGTAAAGGATTTGCTTGTACTCAGTTTTAATTCATGCCAGTCTTTTTGGCAAGAAAGTTTCAGCTCCGCATTACCTTGCCCTGCTTACCTTACCTAGCTGGCTCACAGCTTCACACAGTGATAAGGTAACACGCTGTTGCCTGAAAGAGAGAGGTTCATAATGAAAAATGGGTGCAGGCAGTAACGCTCAGCTGTACCTGCCATACTGCATAAATACCTGAGAACTACGACTTACAGGGACAGAATCCAGAGCATTGTAAGACCCAACAACTGTATTTAAAGATTCTTGTCTGTACAGACAGGATCCCGGACCAGAAACTTCAAAGGTGTCTTGTTTAACCGATTTCCATTCAAAAATACGCCTGTCCTTTCCTCATGCTGTGCTCCTGCTCTGCCCACAGGGCCCTTCCCAAAGCCACAGCCTTCCCTACCCCAATCCCTTGTCCGGCTCTGCATCCACAAACAGCAACACCATCACGCAGCACAGTCACCAGTTACTTACATAACAGAGCGAGACAGGTGCCTGCAAGATTTTAAGCGTAGGTGTTCTAAATTACTGTTAAATGTAGAAGTTTCACTTTATCTACAGAACTTTATCCATAATTGTGCTGGCTTTGATTACTATTAAACTATAGAACGAGATCCCAAGTTTACAACATCTGGTAAAACTCACTCCTAATTGTCATTCCACTCAATGTATGTTTTGGTCCACTTTTGACAGCTCTTCTGTGTTACCACACAAACAGGTGAAGAGAAACATGGAATAAAGAACACATTCCACACTTCCACACCACTCAGATTCTGTACAAAGAGAACTTTAGGTCCTCAGACACTGAACTGTCAAATCTACCAGAAACTAATTTGCAGATCTTGGCCTGGGAGCACAGATTTGTGTTCAGGTGATGCCTCGCGTGTTGTGAACCATTTGCAATTTGTCCATTGTGTTGTGCGGTTACCTCAGCCTCAGGTAAAGTAGATACCTTCCGCACCCCAGCTGGGATCAACAGAACTTGCCCTCTGAACTGCAGTGTCACATTTAACGACTATATGATGATACTGAAAACACCCATACGTAACCTGAGTACTTGTGTGAGTAAACCTGAGGGGGTGGCCAAGACATTTGGCCAAATCAAAATCAGTTTTTAAATGGAACTGGTGCTCAGATTTTTTAAAAAATTTATTTATAAGTCCACACAGCACATTGTAAAGTATAAATTGGTTACCCCAGCTACCAAGCAACCAAACCTAGTTTTGCTTTCATGAAACACGATCATACAGAAACACTGCTCTCCTTTCCCTGAAAAAAAGGGGATTTCTCCAAAAATTACTAAACATTGGACTCTGAGACTGCTCTCAGAGCAAATGCATTTCTTAAAACCCCCAGAACACAACACAAAAGCCTTATGCTCAGACAGCTGAACTAACCCCAAAGCCTTAGGGCTTCCGCAAGGCCAGTTAACCACAAGGGAGCAAACCCTCCCGAGCTGGCTGTGCCAGCGACCCCAGTGCTGTCAGAAACACCACATACACGGCCTCGTGTTTGCCTGGTGAGCGCAGATATACACACACACGCACACACTTCAGTGTCTGTTCATACAGCTTTGGGATCCCACCCAGTGACACCAGCACCAAGTGCGAGTCACCACTGCAGCTTTACTCCTCCTCAGGGTAACCCTCAGAGACACCAACCTGTCCTGCGTGGAGGTGGCAAAGAAGTCTTCGGGCGGCAACCTGAGAGCAGCTTCACCAAATGCACATCCCTACCTCTCTCTCCGTAACCCTCCCTCAGAGAGGGAAGAGTTCTCACAGGGGCTTTAAAGGGAACAAAAGGGCTGGTACCCCGGTAGGCCCACACCCCGAGCGAGCCACCAACATGGCGGACAAGGCCCATGACTGCGGATAAAGGTGGGCACGGAGGAAGGAGCAGCTATGCCCATCTCGTGGCGGAGATGGACCTACCACCACCCCCGTGAAGGGGC